TGTACCCACTTGTCATCCTAGCAGAGGAGGAGGGGTTGTGGGAAGACTGTTACAAGTTTGAGGTCATCTTGGTGTACCTAGTGAGTTACAGGCCAGCTAGGGTTATGTAGGGAGACCCACTCCCCAAAGCACTCCCAAACAAACAAGAACAAGCTCAGTGAGAACAATATGCTGTAACTGCTTGTTGCTGGTGCAGGACCAGAATGGGATGCTGCTGGCTGAGCTGGAGTGTTGGCTTCTTCTTCTGCCAGAGGACCAGGGTATGAGGGTTGTGCTGGAGGACAAGACCCCTTAACCCACCTCTCCTCATGCTCTGCTTTCTTTGCAGGGTGTGTCTGCAGCTGGGCAGGTAGTATCCCTAAAGGTGTGGCTAATTGATGACATTCTGGACAAGATCAACAGCCACCTTCCATCCAACATTCGGATTCTGGGTAAGCTTGCCTTCCTGTGCAAGCACCCGAGTGGCTCCCCTCATATGGACAGAGGCTGTGCTTGCCCTGCCACTTCTGGCCAAGTTCTTTGGGAATGAAATGGAGAAGCTTGCAGGTGCTCAGCAGATGGTGGGGTGCTGTGAATGTTCAGTGTTGCTCCCTCAGGGTTAGCTACTTGAGCACACAGTTCCTTTCTCATAAAATGGTGGTTGTGAACGTGTAGGCAGATGGTTAAAAAAAGGTCAGCCGTGCTCTTTTGTAACGGGACTGGCAAATGGACTTTTAGAATCTGGAGCCTTATGCTTGTTCTAAGCCATATTTCTAGGCCCTCTTAACTTTTTTGTTGTTGTTGTTTTTCGAAACAGGGTTTCTCTGTGGCTTTGGAGACTGTCCTGGATCTAACTCTTGTAGACCAGGCTGGTCTCGAACTCACAGTGATCTGCCTGCCTCTGCCTCCCGAGTGCTGGGACTAAAGGCGTGCACCACCACCGCCCGGCTGGTGCCCTCTTCTGGTGTGCAGATATACATGGAAGCAGAATGTTGTATACATAATAAATAAAATCTTAAAAAAAAAATTCTGCTGCTGTATCTGTAGAAAGACTTAGCATTCTAGGTCCTAGCTTCCCCCTTCAGGTGGCTCATGACTCAAGGCTTGGTCAAAAGCTGCTGTAGATTTATAACCTGGGCTTGGCGTGTTTGCCAGCTCCAGTCCCAGCAGATCCTTAGGTTTCTATCATCTGGGTTTATTTCATTCTGGGTTTCAGCATTGTATGGATTCTGAGTTCGGAGTCAGAACTGGGAACCTGTCCTGGGCAAGTGGTGCCAGAATCATGCTGTCAGGATGTTCCCACCCTGGAAGTGTTCCTACTCATCTGGGTTTCTTATGTGCCGCCCCTCTAGGATTGAAGAGGGTCACAGGTGGCTTCAACTCCAAGAACAAGTGCGATGCCAGGACCTACTGCTACATGCTACCCACCTTTGCCTTTGCTCACAAAGACCGGGATGTACAGGATGAGAGTTATCGCTTAAGTCCAGAGACCTTGGAGCAGGTCAACCGGCTTCTGGCCTGCTACAAGGGCACCCATAACTTCCACAACTTCACCTCACAGAAGGGGCCAAGAGAGCCCAGTGCACGGCGCTACATTCTGGAAATGTACTGTGAAGAGCCCTTTGTACGGGAGGGCCTGGAGTTTGCAGTGATCAAGGTGAAGGGCCAGAGCTTCATGATGCACCAGATCCGGAAGATGGTTGGCTTGGTGGTAGCCATTGTCAAGGGTTATGCCCCTGAGAGTGTCCTGGAGCGCAGCTGGGGCGAGGAGAAGGTGGATGTACCCAAGGCACCGGGGCTTGGCCTAGTCCTGGAGAGGGTGCACTTTGAGAAGTACAATCAGCGTTTTGGCAGTGATGGGCTCCATGAACCCCTGGACTGGGCACAGGAGGAAGGGAAGGTGGCTGCTTTCAAGGAGCAATACATCTATCCTACCATTGTCAGCACTGAGCGGGATGAGCGGTCCATGGCCCAGTGGCTCAGCACTCTGCCTATCCACAACTTCAGTGCCACTGCACTTGGAGCGGCCGGCACAGGTGCCAAGGTAGGAGCCTGGTCTATAGAATGCATATGTGTACATACTGGGGCTGGGCGGGCTGGGTAAACACTTGTCTTCAGCCCCAGTTGTAGACAGCAAGCTGAGTCACAGAGAATCCCCAAAGTCACACAGCCCCTGGAGGAATGGGGGGTTACGTGGTCCCTGGGCTACCTCCTGCTCCTGCCCCACCCTGTGATCTCAGCTGCGTGCTGAGGTAGTTGTTGACTCAGCAGCCCAGCTGTCGTCTAGGCAAGGCTTGCTCATGGGCTGGCATTGGGCTGAAGCTGCCGAGTAGTCTGTCTGGTCACCACTAAAGGTGTAGGCTGCTTGTGCCTGTCTGTTCAGTTGCAGTCTGTTCCTGTGGTCTTCCCTCTACTAGTTTTGAGCTCAAGCACTTGGCACTATGCCCAGGATTCCATTGTTTTCCCCCATGCCTCACACATGGGAGTGCCTACAAGTTGGGTCTTACAGTCCTTTTCTTGTCTGTCCCCCTTCCTACAGGTCCCCAGTTCCCTGGAGGGCAGTGAAGGGGACGGAGACACTGACTGAAACTACAGCTGCTGGCCACTGCTGTGAGGGTTGAGGCTGGAGTCTCTGCACTTGCCTGTCTCTTGGGACAGGAAAGCCAAGAATTCTGGGGCCAGTTTGTGGATGTAGCCTGGCTTCATAACCTCAGGATATTAAATTTCTCATTCTAGGAATTAGCTGCCTCTTTCAGCCCATGCATTGTGTGTATACACCTTAGCATGAAAGGACACATTTTTAAAAAAAGAAGTGATTTTTTCCTATTAAATATGTTTTGCTTAGTGAATTATTCTTTTCCTATTTTTCCTTTTTTGATTGTGAGAAGATGGCTGGGGACACCGCTGTGTTTGGGATAGTTGAAGGGCACAAAGGGTCAGCATGAGGGTGTGATTGACAGGCAGTGCAGGCAGTAGACGTAGGTGAGTGCAGTGGTATGTCCTGCCACCAGCAGTATGCTTCCAATTGCTACCTGTACCCTCTTTCTTCTATCCTGGCCTGTTCTTTGAGTCCAGTCCCATTTTCTTTGAGGTGGTTACCTTGGTAATGTGAGCTGTTGGTTGTGATTTCATGCTTCTTATTCTTGGACTTTGGAGTGACCCCAAGTGGGGTGCTTCCATGCCCTGGTATTCTTCACCTCTTTTGGGTCTCCTTTCCTAAACTGCATGACTGTTCGTGTCCCTTGGCAGGTGGCGGTCCCACCTGAGCAGTAGAGCTGTGAAATGGAACTTCAGTTTTTTATTTTCTGGCCTCAGGACATTCCTCCTGTCCATTCTGTCCCTGAGACCCCAAATTTGGAAGCCTGACTTCCACCTGCCTGCACAGAGCTGCCTGCACACCCACTGCCACTAACTAGCTCAGTATTAGACTTGGAATGCCCCTTCAGCCCAGTGTAATCCTCCTGGAACCTCCCTTGCCTTTTATGGGTGAGGCATACTCAAATTTCTAGCACATTCAGCCTTTAGACCTGCACAGATGTCTTCATCCCACAACCTGAGTTTTTGTTTGTTTAGAATGGCAAGCAAGCACTTACAGTCCAGGGCCTGGTGAGAGGAGACTCTTAACAGCTAAGAGCACTTTGCTTGAACAGAACCTGGGTTTGATTTCCAGCACCTATATGGTGGCTCACAACTATCTGTAACTCTGGTTCCAGAGGATCCAACAGGCTGCAGGCAGGTAGGAAGGCAAAATGTTATACAAGAAGTAAAATAGATAAGACTAAAACATTTCTTAAAAAATTTATTTTAAGGGTTGGTGAGATGACTCAGCAGTTACAAGTTCCTGCCATTCTTGCTGAGGACCCAAAATTTCCAGCACCCCTATCGGGCAGCTTAAGTCTTACTATACATCTAGCTCCAGAGGGTTCAGCCCCCTCTTCTGGTCTCTGAGGGCACTGCATTCATGTACAACATACCCACACATACGGCACACATGCACACACCTAATTAAAAAATAAAATCTGGACATTAAAGAAGGGAAACCTCAGGTCGGCTATGGTGGCACACACCTTTAATCCCAGCACTCAGGACCCAGAGGCAGGTTGGTCTCTGAATTTGAGGCCAGCCTGATCTACAAAGCGAGTTCTAGGACAGCCAGGACTGTTACACAGAGAAACCCTGTCTCAAAAAACAAACAAACCAAGCCTTGGGCTCACAGGCTGCATAAAGGAGGGAAAGATCAGGCTCCGCCTCGTACTGGCGAGGCTAGGCCCGAGTTTGCCCGAACGTCCCGGAGCCTTGAGGCTCCGCCTCGTACTGATGACGCCACGCCCGAACTTGCCCGAACTTCCCCGAGCCTTGAGGCTCCGCCTCGTACTGACGAGGCCACGCCCCCCGGGGGGGAACCTGGTGAACCCACAGCTCTTCCCTGCTTGCGCGCAGACGCTCTCTGTACTGACCGAAACAGTCTTAACTCGCGTCGCTGAGGCCTTTCAGAGGCGACCCTGAGGTAGCCCTCAGCAATCCGGATCCGCCCCGGACCCGTTCAACGCGCCGCCTACATGTAGCCCTGCCCCTTGCCTCCGCCATCTGGAGCATTTAACTGCAGGCGACATCGCGCGGCTGTGGCCGGTGTTGCAGAATATATACCGTTAGT